ATCCATATTATCATTTTTTTCCAGTTAAATTATATATGTTATCAAAAAAATATAAAAAATACCAAGTGGATGGAGTTAATGACTTAAACTGATGAAAGTATCAAAATTGTGCAGTTACTAAAGTTAAGGGATTAAAAAAGTGTAAAAAATAATTTATGAACCAAAAAAGTACAAAAAATAGTTTATGAACCAAAAAAGTACAATTTAATAAAGTTGAGGAATAAAAAAGTAAAATTTAATGAAGTTGAGGGACAAAAAAGTGAAATTCAATGAAGTTGAGGGACCAAAATTAGCATTTAACCAATTTTTTTTCAAGTGGCAGGTGTGAAATGTGACGGACATTAACGAAATTAACAGGAAATTTGACCGAAGTTAGTTTCCAAATTGGGACCTTATTTGAGAAATTTGTGGAGTTTGAGACCTTCATTGAGGGCAATCAAAGTTTGGGTCCGAAATTGTGAATTTAATGTAATTTCGGGTCCTTATATCATATTTTTTCCATCTTAAAATTGGTCCTTAATAGAGTTTCTATTGAGTTACGGTATTCTCAATTCTGATATACTTAGGCTTACTGAGTTCTTTTTTGCCTGAGGCTTAGGGCTGTTTGGTGTAGTTTATTAAAATTTTTATTTTTTTTATATTATTTATAAATAATAAATTTAAATTTTTATTAAAAAAAATTTTATTCCTGAAGTCAATGCAGGAATGTGTCTTCGAAACTTCACCAAATTGCCATTGACGATGGAATTGACTTCAAGTCAATGCAGGAGGTGTCGTCGAAACTTCACCAAATTGGAAGCAGGGGACGAAGATGATTTTGGTCATGGCAGGGACAAAATAATCCTTGCAACAGAAAATGTCAACTTCTGTGTAGCTTTATCATTTTCGGATTTTCCTGTATCTGCAACAACTGTGGACCCGCAGTTGGCCTCACTGCATTATTGCACTTACCCAATAATTCAACACCTACCCAGTGACATGATTATCTTATCCTATTGCTTTTGCCTTTTTTATATCTTTTCTTCCAAGAAAAAGGACTGTTATAAGTCAAGGTAAAGTTTCAAAAAAATACTAATAAAATTTTCTGAGAAGTTACAAACGTAATTTCAAAATAGTCCTAAAGTTCTAAATTAGGAGTTCTTAAAGTCAAGTTTGCCCCTCTTTCTAACTCAAATTTGCAAAACTATATTTTTTTCTATAAAACTTACTTTTTTATCTTAAAATAATTAATATTTTTTATTTAATATATGTCTCAAAATAATAGTTATTTTTTTAAATGTGAAGAGATAAATATTTTTTATTAAAATATTATTTTATTATATAAAAAAATTTTATTTTTATTTTTTAAAAATAAAATAAATAAAATAAAAATTACCCTTAAATTTTTTAACTTTAAAATAAAAACAAATTTAACCATTTTTGTTCGAGACAGAAGGAGTAACCTTTAAAAACAACTGATAAAGTCAGAACTGACTTAACAATTAAAGCGGGATCTAGACTTGTATTTTTAAACTACTCACTGTTTTTGTTGCCATTCACGAGGGACTTAAAGTCAATACGTAAGTGATCACGTAACACATTCGCCGATGCTTTTGGTGGAGGATGAAAGAGAAACTCTACATATAATAAAAAAAAAAAAGAGATTTTTTTTATTCTGATCATGGAAAGCTTAGATTAGTTCGTGTAACTTTTTATTTACGTATTATA